AGTTATACTCCTTCTTTTTTTAGAAAATTGGATCCACACAAAAGATTTATGTGGGAATGGAATCCTTCTAGGGGAAAATCTGGGGGCATCCTCTATGGGGTCAATAGGGATAAGTTTGACATCATAGAAGTGAAGCATGGGAGATACATTTTGCAAGTTAATCTCCTTGATAAGAGCAAAAGTTGCAGTTGGGCCCTGCTGGTAGTTTATGGGGCAGCTCAGGATGAGAACAAACCGGAGTTTATAGCAGAGATGTCATCTATGTGCCACAAAACCTCTGTTCCTTATATAGTTGGTGGAGATTTTAACATCCTTTGTCACAGTGGAGAGAAGAACAAAAAAACTCCTTTGTCTCATTTCTCTGATGTCTTTAACTCAGTTATACACCTGCTGGGGCTAAGAGAGATTCATATGTCAGGAGGATGTTACACTTGGTCGAACAAACAGGAGCACCCTACTTTGGAAAAGCTGGATAGAGTTTTAATGTCTTCAGACTGGGAGGACCTTTATCCTCTTGTTTCTGTTAAAAAATTAGTCAAGGAGATCTCTGACCATAATCCCTTACTCCTGGATGGGGGGGTGGCTTCTCCTAGAACCCCTGGTAGTAGATGTTTTAAATTTGATAACGCCTGGTTGAACAATCCTGAGTTTCTTCCTCTAGTAGCTGCAATTTGGGCGCAGCCTGTTTACACTAGTGATCCTATTGATGTGTTAAATATCAAGTTGAAAAGAATTAAGAAATTCTTCACAGGATGGGGATCTAACATTTTTGGTCGGAATAAGATTAGGAAAAACCTTATCAGACTCGAGCTTCAGGAGCTGGAGAATATGGAAGAAGAAAATGACCTGTGTGGGGAAGCCTATACTAGGAAGTTGAATGTCCTAGTAGAACTTAATGACATGTATACTGAGGAAGAGACCTATTGGCACCAGTTTTTGAGTGGGAGATGGCTCCTAAAAGGGGACAACAACACTGACTTCTTTCACAAGGTAGCCAATGGGCGTCGTAGGAAAAATTCCATGGTTTCATTGGAGTGTGGTTCTATGGTTATAGAAGGGACTAAAAACCTGCTATCCCATGCTACCAATTACTACAGAGAGTTGTTTGGACCAGCCCCTGGCAACATTTGCCAAATCGATGCTTCATTATGGTCCCAGGATGAAAACATCATGCCTGAGGATAATGAGTACCTGACCCGCCCTTTCTCTCTTGAGGAAATCAAGACAGCATTGTTTGCGATGAAACCTAATCGCGCTCCTGGACCGGACAATATTCCTGCAGAATTCTATCAACATTGCTGGGACGTTGTGAGTCCGGAGTTGTTCAATCTCTTTGAGTGGTTCTATGAGGGAAAATTAGATGTTCAACGCTTGAACTATGGGGTTATCACATTACTCCCTAGATCTGCGGAGGCAAATAGAATACAGCAATATCGACCTATTTGCTTGCTGCGGTGCCCGTACAAATTGATCACGAAAGTTATGGATCTTAGAGCTACGAAGGTTGCTAACAAAATCTTTAGCATCCAGCAGAATGCTTTCATTAAGGGGAGACACATTATGGATGGCATTCTATCCTTGCATGAGGTACTGCACTATACTCATATAAAAAAGGATGTGGGAGTAATATTTAAGATTGACTTTGAGAAAGCTTATGACAAAGTCAACTGGGAGTTCCTACTGGATTGTCATGTTAAACGGGGTTTTAACTCAAAATGGTGTGGGTGGGTGGCTCAAATCCTTAGGAATGGCACGGTTAGTGTTAAAATCAATGATGAGATAGGACCCTATATCCAGAGCGCTAAGGGGGTGAGACAAGGTGACCCACATTCTCTGTTCCTTTTTAATCTTGCGGCAGAATGCCTAACTAAGATGGTCATTTCAGCGCAAAAAAATAATCTCATTAAGGGGCTAGCTTCTGGGCTGATAGAAGGAGGGGTAGGCATCCTTCAGTACGCGGACGATACTGTCCTGTGCTTTGAACATGATGTTGACAAAGCTGTCAACATCAAGCTGTTGTTGTATCTTTTCGAACTCATGTCTGGTTTAAAAATTAACTATGATAAGAGCAAAGTGTTTGTGGTGGGAGGGGATAATGACACGGACAGTATATATGCTGATCTGTTTGGCTGTCGTGTGGGATTTTTACCTATGAAATATTTGGGAGTTCCAGTTACATATTCCGCTCTTAAGAACATTGAGTTGGATTCCCTGGATGTTAAAATGGTCAAGAAATTGGATGCATGGGTAGCATATGCAGCCTCCTCTGGTGCTCGGCTCATCCTGCTTGACTCCAGTTTGGATGGTATCCCATCTTACTTGATGTCGATGTTTCTTTTTAACAAAACCTTTATAGAAAAGATAAACAAACATCGCAGACGTTTCTTTTGGAGGAGGAGGAATAAGAAGCGAGCTTATCATATGGTTAAATGGGCTAGAATTTGCCGATCGAAAAATATTGGTGGCTTGGGTATAAAAGACCTTCACAAACAAAATATCAGCCTACTTGTGAAGTGGTGGTGGAAGCTGGAAACTGGTGATGGGCTATGGCAGCACATCGTCCGTGCAAGATATTTCAGAAACAAAACGGTCGCGAACATTTGCAGTCGTTTCTCTAATTCTCCCTGTTGGGAATCTATCATGAAGGTCAAAGATGTTTATATGGCCGGGAGAAAAGCCAACATTAACAAAGGGGACCTGGCAAGGGTTTGGCATGACCCATGGGTGGATAATGGTATCCTGCGAGAACGCTTCCCTGTTTTGTATGACATCTGTCAAGATCAAGACTGTACTGTTGCCTCCTTTGTAGACACTGACTATAATCTTCCCTTCAGACGTAGGCTCTTTGGAGAGCTGGAGGATCAATGGAATTGGATGGTGTGTGAGGCTAAGAAGATGCCTCTGAATGAGAATCCTGATGCTATCTCTTGGTCCCTGAATAGTGGAGGTAGATTCACCACTAAATCTGTATATAAATGGCTGGAGAGAGATCTATCTGGCCCTAATTATAAATGGGTGTGGAAAGTGGCAATCCTGTTGAAAATAAAAATATTTCTATGGCAATTATTCCAAGATGCTGTTCTCACGCGCGATAACATGCGGCGGAGGAATTGGCCCGGAAATCCTATGTGCTCTTTTTGTACTAATGTGGAAACTGCTAACCATCTTTTTTTCGCTTGCCCTCTCGCCCGCACAGTTTGGGGGGTGCTGGGGTTGACTGTTGGGGCTTCCTGTGCTCCCAGATCAATCTGGCAAAGTCTGGCTTGGATGTACAATTTGCTTCCTGGAGGCAAAAAATTCTATATGATGATCATTGCTACAGTGTGCTGGGGGATTTGGTGCCTTTGCAATAAAACTACTTTTGATAAGTATAATGCTCGTTCTCCGCTGGAGGCTGTCTTCACCGCTTGCTCTTTTATGTTATACTGGGCAGGGCTGCTTAAGGAGGATGACAGGAGGAAATTCCAGGATGGTGTGAAGAGGCTGGCTCATGTGGCAGCGGCACTGGCGGACAGGCCTTATGCGCGTGGCAGGCTTCTTCTGGGAAATGAAGATGGCATACAGATTGGTTAGATCATGTTAGTCTCCATCTTAGCATGGCCTATATCCACTTGGGTTTGATGCCCGCTGGATTGCTTTTTTTGGTGTTGGTGGTCCTATCCTTTCAAGTTTAGCCTCTAGTCAGGTTAAGTCTGTAGCAAACTTTGGTTGATTGTGTCGCCAGGTTTTCGCCCCACGGCTGATAGTCTGTTACAGGGCTATCATGCAGTGGGTTTCCTGGCGATGCACCAACCGCTCTCCCCTTTCAGTCTCCTTTGCTTGGTAGTTGGCCTTATTCGGCTCGATGCTCATTTTGCGATACTCTCCAAAAACAGTAATAGACTGATGTATTTCCGTTGATTGCAAAATTAATGGAAAGGGGTGTGAGCCCGGTTGGAAAAAACTCCTGAAGATCTCATTTTTTTGTCATGTCAAATGGAAGTAAGTTATTTCTTTGTTACTTCTAAATTCCAACTAGCACATTGCGCGTGAAACGTCTTTAATCATCTCTAATTTATTGAGCACACATAGTTTATGCATTATCATGCTATTTGTAAGAACACCAACTTACAACTGAATATTCCGCTTGTATGTACTACTAGTTCATTAGATCGCTACTAAGTATTGAAGTTGAGATTACAAGCTAGCCAATGTAGTTGGCAAGAGCCTTTTATGCGGTATAGTTGTGCAAAAATAGTCTTCCTCTGCAGTATTGCAAGTATCACAACTTCAAAACTGACTTCAGATTTTCTTCCAACAAATTTCATCAATCGCAATCTAGGTGATGGATAGTTTATGTTGAACTTCTATCTTCTGATTTTGATCGTACCGCTGAGGCCTACCGATCCCCATATAACCTGATTTGTATCAGCAGGAAGATTGATACATTTGGTATGTTTTTTTGCAAATTCATACCAAATTGTTTTTCTTTTAATGGAAGACACAAATCTATTTCTGATTACAGATGCATCTCCATTTTCTTAAAAAACAAACGATTATATATTTTGTTTTTCTGCACATTCAGAATTTTTTTAGTTATGTTGTGTAGACCGTTTTGGTGTTGGTAGTACTAAACATCTTGGATGTTAGCAGGACATTCTCCAAAATGGGGCTTATTAACATAGTACTAGTATGTTCTGAAGTTTGAACCATGGAAAATTGATCTATGTACACTGGTGTTCTCCTGATTAATTTGCTTTCATATATTTTCATGGACCTGGCTTGGATGAATTACCAAGAAATAAAGTTATTATTCAAAGTGGTAATTCTGCATGTTTCACCTTAACACCAGTGCAAGGAACCTTACTTCCAGTACCAAAACAACTTAATCCTTTTCATCGATCCATTGCACAAGTATCTCATCCAGTACAACAACTGATTAACCCTGCATTCGATCCAAAATAAAAACTTGTCTAGCTAAATTCTCCAACAAACACGAGCCACAGCCCACAGACAGCGACTCAGTAGATGAGCGTGGTGGTGCTGTTGCCAAGCAGCTCCTGCTGCGCCCTGAACTGCTTCCACTCGTCGAGCACGCCGGCGAGTGTGTCGATCTCTTTCTGCAGACCGATGAGGCAGTTGGCATGGTAGGTGCACACCTCGTAAAAGTTCTTCTTGTTCTCGCACACGCCACTGAAGTAGACGGTGTCGATCAGCATATCACCGTCACCCCGTGCCGCGCCGACAGCTCTTTCTTCACCTCCCCGGGGTACCGGTTCCTCGCATCGTACCAGTCCTGGAAGAAGGCCAGTGTCCGTTCGTTAGGCCTCGCGTACACAAACCCGCCGTTGGCCGCCTTGTCGAGGTCATAGGGGTTGTCACCCAAGAACTGGTCACACGCCAGGGCGATGTCGGCGCCCACGTGGGAACCGTAGCAGCGGGTTCCGGAACCACACGATGTCCACGTCCGTGAACACGAAGCCGAAGCCCAGCCCCAGCACCCGCGCCTGGAACCGGTTCCGCGCCCACATCAGCTCCACGTAATCCTTGCTCATGAACGTCACCTCCCCCGCCGTCGTCGTTCCTCCAGGCGCAGGCGCGCCACCGCCGAGCGGGTAGCAGAGCGGGTGCATGTGCTGGCACGATCACCAGGTGCTTCAGCAGGGGCTGCGTCCGCACGCCCAGCCGGAAGCTCTCCAGGAAGAGCTCCAGCAGCGACCCGGGCAGCGTTAGCGCCTCGTTGACAAAGGTCAGTATCACCGTCTTGTCCTCCATGGCCGCGCTTCTCAGAAGCTCCGCAAGGCTGTCTTATTCTTTACCTTTCACGGCCAAAGTTCTGCAGAGTCAGACTTAAAGGAAAACTAGTATAACCAAGAGACAAGGATCAAAAGAAGAAGATAATGCATGTACCGTGCTGAGGTTATTTGTGCTCATGAGATGTGCTTGGCTTCCATTGTTGTCCAACGCCAGCTCGTGGCCGCACGGGCAGTTGGGAGCAGACGACGGCACCAGCAGGTGTTCATCAAACCCTAAAACGTCCGGGTTCGTCTATATAAAATAGGAACAGCATGTTTGTACGATGTGCGTGACAGACGGCGCCTTTGGGAGCAGACGGCGCCATATGGTTTTCTTTCAGTCAAATAAGAAAAACATTAGTCAGTTACTACATGACTTTCACCGCGTGATGCAGCTGATTAAGCACAAATATAAAATTAGTACTATGAACAGGAATCATTCGTGCACGCAGAAACCGATGAATCTCACTGAGCTAGATCCGTCAATTGCTGATCTGGATTGTTGTGAGATGCTCGGTTTAGCAAGTTTACTGGGAGCATATGGTCAGCTTATTCATGGCGTGACAGAGAAAAATCGAGGTCCTGAGGTAGAATTGGTCTGACCAATATAAAATAGGAGAAGATGCAGAAAACTGATAACAGGTTCACTATTATAACTGGGTTTCTGTTTAGTGTGGATTTTATGCTGAAATTTGCATGGAGGGACAATTCTGATGGATTAATTACACTACACTATGTTTCAGCTACTTTGTACAGGTTTTGTTCTTGAGTTGGTCAACTTGGCAAGTTATTTACTGGGAGTGTCTTCTCAGTTTATTCGTGGGATGGCAGATAAATCGAGGTGCTGACATTGAATTGGTCTAACTAGTACTCCCTCCATTTTTATTTACTCTGCATATTTTTTTGCGAAATAACTCTTTTATTACTCAATCATAAGGAATTACAATCTCGCGAGGCAATACATAAGACTTCATCACGAGCTGAGCCGAGCCAAACCATAGTTCGCCCCTGCCCACTACCAAAACTAGCCATAGCATGACTAACACTATTGCCCGTGTGGCGGATATGAGTAATACAAGAGTCCCGTTCCCCCATACTTTGCTTGATCTCTCCAATCATAAAGGCATATCTTGAAAAGTTGCGACCCGCATCCTTGATCATTTGGACGGCCTCGAGACAGTCAGACTCAACGTCTATAGGAAGAGAGCTCCATTGCAACGCCAAACTGATGCCCTCCTTGATGGCCAATATCTCAGACTCGAGTACATCTTCACAATCGCACACAAACCTACAAGCACTGAAGATAATATTTCCAGCATGATCCCGCAAAACCATACCAGTTCCGGCATTGCCATTCAAGACAGAACCATCCGTATTTAGCTTCACTCTTCCTTCGGTTGGGGGGATCCAAGGGCTAATGTTTTGTATCTGTACATCACGGACCACGTTCGCTTCTAGGAAGACCTGAGCAGGAACTATCTTGCCCTTGGCATAATCAGCATCTTGGTTAGCGGTCAAGCTTGCCAAAGAATTCAAATAACTTTCCAGGAACAGGGCAGATACATCCACAGGAGGAGTGGGCTTTGCATGGACAACTTCGTTTCCGACGTGCCAAATTCTCCATAAGAGCATAATTAAGCGGACACGCTGGTGAACTTCAGCTTCGCATATTACCTGGATGAACCAGTCATCATGCCGCTTTATATCTGTGAGCTTGGGCAGCTCCCACACCTTCGCCATTGCCCACTAGAGCTGCTGAGCATTATCACATGCACAAAACACATGAAACAAGTCCTCAACTTCTCTGCCACAGACTGGACAAGTGTCCCGTTCCTCCAGAGTTCTCTGTTTCTTATTCTTCCATGTCGCCAGAGAGTTCGTTGCTAATCGCCAAGCAAACGACTTAACCTTCGGCGGTGCCGGACAAGACCAGATATGCTTCCACACTTCTCTGCTACTATCCGCAACAGAGCACGACGAAGGGATCGATGGTTGTAGCATTTCGTTATCAGCAAGCCAATAAGCGCTCTTCACTGTGAAAACTCCACTCCTCTCCGGCACCCACGCCAGAAAGTCCTCCCCAAGCCGTGGCGAGGGTTTTATCTTGCAGATCTGTGCCATGTCAATCAGTAAGAAGAATCGTTGGAGCTTTTGCAAATCCCAGTTGCCATTATGATCAAGTAACTCAGCCACCCATTTGAGGCGGCACCGGCCTTTACTCGAAAGCAGAGAATTTGTGTTGCCTCTCATCAACCATTGGTCGCGCCATATTCTCACATTCTGGCCATTCGCAACGCGCCACACGAGCCCTTTCTTTAGCAACTCGAGCCCATGACAGACCCCTTGCCATGATTGGGATGGGTTACCCGAAAAAACAGTATCTTCAAGCCTCCCATTCGGGTAGTATTTTGCCTTTAGCAACCTTGCACACAGACTATCAGGATGGATCAGTAATCTCCACGCTTGCCTTGCAAGTAACGCTTGATTAAGGAATCTAAAGTCCCTGAATCCAAGGCCTCCTTGTGCTTTTGCTCGCAACATTTTCTCCCAAGCATACCAATGCGTTTTACGCTTTCCCTCTCTGAACCCCAAAAATAGTTACGGATCATGCGGTTCAAATCATCAGACCCCCAGTGGTATCTTAAAAACACTCATAATAAAGGTGGGGATTGCCTGCGCCAGAGATTTAATCAATGTTTCCTTCCCAGCTTGTGTTGGATGTCCATCAAAAGCAAACAACCTTTTACTAACTTTCTCCTGCAGGTTTTGAAGCTTGCCTTTTGTGAGCCGGCCATCCGGCGTTGGTAAGCCCAAATATTTCTCCTCAAAACCCGAGCTGGCCACCTCCAACACACCTTTTATCTCAGCTGCTATACTGGCCGGGCAAGAATCTCCAAAGAGGATAGATGATTTTGCCAGATTCAATAGTTGGCCAGTGGCTTGCTCATAAGTCTTAATAATCTGCTTAACAGTATTCGCCTGTTGCCCAGTGGCCTTAAAGAATAAGAGAGTGGCATCTGCGAATAATAGATGTGATATTCCAGGGGCTCTCCTCGTGATCTTCAACGGGGACAACTCAGCTGAGTTTATCCCATTGTCAAATAGAATTGACAAACCATCAGCCACCAGTAGAAATAAGTATGGGGATAAAGGATCACCTTGCCGTAATCCACAAGACGGTGCAAATGAATCAGAGATGGCTCCATTGAATTTTATTGAATATCTCACCGAGGTTACGCATGACATTATCCAGTCAACCCACCGATGAGCAAAACCAAGCTTTTGCATCATTTGCTTAAGGTAATCCCAATCAACTCGATCATAAGCTTTGGATAGATCCAGCTTATAGGCACAAAAATTCCTTGAGGGATCCTTTTCCTGCTTGATATGATGAATACATTCAAAAGCAATCAAAGAATTATCCGTTATCATTCTCCCTGGAATAGAAGTACTTTGCGTGGGAGAGATAATCCCATCCAACACCGGCCTCAACCGGTTAACAAGGCACTTGGAAACCACCTTATAGATTACATTACAGAGGCTAATTGGCCGGAAATCTATAATCTTAACAGGGTTTTTAATTTTTGGAACTAGGACTATATTAGTGCTGTTTACCTCAGCCGGCATTACTCCTGACCGAAAATACTCCTGGACCGCTGCCACAATACTCTCCTTAATAGTGCCCCAATTCCTCTGGAAAAACCGCGCCGGAAAACCATCCGGTCCCGGTGCCTTTAAAGGCCCGATTTGAAATAAAGCATCCGAAATCTCCTTCTCAGTAAAATCAGCACACAAAGATGCATTTGTGTCCTCATCAATAACAGATTGAACTAGATTAATGATTGGGCTTGGATCAACCGAAGGAACAGAAGTAAAGATGTTCTTGAAATAATCCATTGCTGCCCGGTCCACAGCTTCCTCCCCCGTGAAGACCCGACCACTAGTGTCTACTAGCTTTTTTATACGGTCTTTCTAGCTCTCCACACAGCCTTTGATTGAAAAAAAATTGTATTTCGGTCCCCTTCCTTAAGCCAAGTAATACGGGATTGTTGCATCCACATTAACTCTTCTCTGTAGAGTAACTCATTCATTCTATCTGTTACCTTACGAATCTCACATCTGTCTGCATTCATCAACATGAGTTCCTCAAGCTGAGTCCTTGACTTTTCAATTTCCCGAGCTACACCGCCAAAGTTCTCCTTACTCCATTTGCACAACGCTTTCATAGTATCCCGTAAGGCCGCGTGCACGTCCCCTAGGGAAGCTTACTCTCCTGCCCCCAGCCAGGCCTTCGCAATCAAGTCCTGGAGCGCAGGATCTCTTTCCCACATAATCTCATATTGCCCGCGCCTTGGCTTAGTTGGCCTATCACCCACATCATCACAACACACATGAACAGGCACGTGATCCGAACAGGGGGAAGC